TGGGGGGGCAGCAGGTGGCATAGTGGTTAAGGTGGTGGACTCCCACATGGTTGACCATAGTTCAAGTCCTAGACTTGGAGGCTTGAAAATCACACCGGGCATGTGTATATGCATGCCTAAAATTCCATCCCTCCTGGGAGGTGATTTCTCACTGTCTCTCTCTCTCTGTCTCTCCAGTGAGTGTACGTGTCCTATAGCAAAAGTCTCTCTCTAAAAATAAAAGAGAGAGAGAGAGAGAGAGAGAGGGAGAAAATACCTGGTTTCCTAAGGTTTGCTTCTCTAAAACTGTGTTCATAGAGGCCAGGAATCTACACTTCCATGGAAAGACAGTGCTTGAGATTTTTTTTTATATTTTATTTTTTGGAGAGGTTTTTGCTATCGGGCATGTGCGCTCGCCATACAGACAGAGAGACAGAGAGACAGAAAGCGAGAAATCACCCAGAGGGGATGGCCACGCTGCAATCCCTTCTCCTCCATTCTCCTCTCGGGATCTTGGGCACACACGCACATGTGCCCGGCGTGAGTTTTAAGCCACCGGGCCCAGGACGCGAACTGCAGTTGACTACATGTGAGTCCAGCGACATAGCCATTACACTAACTGCTGGTCCCAAGATTTTTGATGTGACTTAAAAACAGAACAGTTCTTGGGCAGCTATCAGATGTTGGAGTGGAACGTTTGGGAAGAAATTTAAGACCAATAATGGATGTGAATATAAAACTTGATTGCTGAGTAGAGATTTTATCCAAAATTCTGGCCTATATTTGCTGGATTTCTGAAGAATGTGCTCTGCATCCCACACAGCCAACTGCAGTTTGAATCCCAGCTCCGGTGACTTGAAAAACATGCCAAATGTGTGTGCATGTGTGTGCTCAAGAACGTAAAGGGATGGAGAAGTGGAGGAAAAAGCAATGTGGCATGACCATGTCTCATGGCAGGGTGTGTGTGTGTGCGTGTGCGTGCATGCGTAAGAATGTGCTCTGAAATCACAGAATATTTTCAAGACCTGATGTCCGAAGAGAGTCTTCCAATTTTCCATTAGTAAGAAGTAAAATGTGTACTGTCATAGCTCTGGTATATAGCCCATTCCTTTTTAAAAATGTAAGGCCTCTAACATGAATATTTCCAGTCTATAAAACGATGGCCCGTGAGCCAGCGGTGGTGTAATAGTTAAGGCACTGGACCCCCACATGGCTGACTGTGGTTTGTCTCAGACCTGGTGGCTTGAATCACACCAGGCAAGTGTGCATACATGCCCAAAACCCCAAGAGAAGAATGGAGGACAAGGGATTGTGGTATGGTCATCCTTCCTGGGGGTAATTTTTCAATTTTTTGCTTTTTGTCTCTTTGGCGAGCACACATACCCCATAGCAAAAATCTCTAAAAAAAAAAAAAAAAGATCCCACCAGGAAAGGAACTGTAAGTTTCTTTGAAACAATTTCTCTCCTTTGCTCCCTATTGTTGAACTGTACAGCTTTATAAGTAATTTTGCTTGCTAAAGGAAGAAAAAAGGTTTTTCATAAACTCATTCTCTAGGACCATTTATAGTTGTTGGAAGGACTAGGTTTTCCCTAGGCCCCCACTGTGTAAGAGCAAGGCAGGCTTGAATGCACAAAATGAGTTTTGTGAGCCAGCAGGTGGCACGGAGGTCAGAGTGCTGGATCTCACATGACCAACTCCTTGGTTCGAGTCCTGGTCCTGGAGGCTTGAAAATCATGCCAGGTGCATGTGTGTGCATGTGTGCATAAAATCCAAAGAGGAAAATAGAAGAGAAGGGGTTGTGGCGTGGCCATCCTCCCTGGGAGGTGATTTCTCACCTTCCCTCTTTTTCTCTGTCTCTGACAAGTACATGCACCTAAGCCCTAAATAAATAAATAAAGCTAGCTTTATAAATGTGATAACAATACTGCAAATAAAGTTGGTAGTAAACAAAAAAAAACAAAATAAAAAACAATGTTTCCCCAAGTAACAAGTAATTGCTAAATTTCTCTGCCATAGTTAAAGAGTGAAGAATTAAAAATTTGGAGGGGGGCAGATCTGGAATGGAGAAAAAGATCCAGTTTAGGGAAATTGAGACAAGAGGACAGAGTAGACAAGTTTTTGTTTTTGTTTTTGTTTTTCTAGAGATTTTCGTTATAGGGCACGTGCGCTCACCAGACAGACAGAGAGAGACATAGAGAGACAGAAAGCGAGAAATCACCCCCCAGGAGGGATGGTCACGCCGCAATCCCTTCTCCTCCATTCTCCTCTTGAGATCTTGGGCACGCACGCACACGGCGTGAGTTTTAAGCCACCGGGTCCAGCGACATAGACATTACGCTAACTGCTGGTTCCCTAGAGTACTTCAGTTTTGAGCACTGTGATATGAGCTCTACTGGCCATCCCAGAAATGTCCAGGGAAGAGCATACAGCTCATAACCTTTTTTTGGTTGTTGTTTTTGGGCATATGCCCTCGCCAGTGAAAGACAAGGAAAGAGGGAAAATGAGAAATCAACCCCGGCGGGGGGTAGAGGAGATGGCCACACCACAATTCCTTCTGCTTCATTCTCCTCTTGAGCTTTTTTGAGCTTTTGAGCGTGTACTCTCATGCACCCAGTGTGATCTTCAAGCTTCCAGGTCCAGGACTCGAACTGCAGTTAGCCACGCAGAATCCAGCACCTTACCCTCCACACCATCTGCTGACGCCTGGCCCCCACAGTTTTGAAGGAGTCAGGTTTCTCCTGGAATCCAGAAAGTGACTGAGATCTTTGTTTTGGGTGATGAGAAATCAAAATAGAGCCAGCTGGTGTAGACTAAGAGGACAGTTGACAGTTTGTATCACAGAGTTGAGGCCTTGTGCAGAAGCCAGAGGTCTGGGGAGTCTGCAAGAGTTATGGGAAGCCCCACACTAGGGTCAGGCAGGCTGTGGAGGGGTGCAGGTGCACTGCTGGCCCTGCACCCCTAAAACAGGTGGTTGACCATCTCTGCTTCCAGTATCTGGTTTTTCTTTCCATCCCCCATTCCTGGACACCTTATCAAATACCTTCCTACTTTCCAGAGCTCTGTAACTCTATCTCTACTTTATCAAAACATGCTCTCAAAACGGGATCGGAGGTAGCCAGTCTAATTTCAAAGACCTGTCATATTTTCCTGGGAAGCATTTGCATTTTTAACAGGGACTAGCACATTAAGCTAAAATATGAGGAAATTTTCAGAGTGGAAATGTGGTCATCAGCAGGAGGGGAAGATACTGTCTGAATAAGGTATCCTATAAGGAGCTGGCAGGTGGCATGGTGGTTAAGGCATGGAACCTCACATGGCCCATTGTAGTTCGAGACCTGGACACAGTGGCTTGATTTCTCACTTTCCTTTTCTGTCTCTCTCTGGTCAAATTAAATAATTATAATAATAATTAATAAAATTAAATAAAATAATTCTCTTGGAAATTAAGGTGCAGGGTCCAGCAGATGTCATAATGTTACATCCCTGGACTCCCACATTGCCAATTGTGGTTCGAGTCCCAGACCTGGTGGTTTAAACTCATGCTGGGCATATGTGTGTGTGTGTGTGTGTGTGCCCAAATTCCTGAGAGGAGAAGGGAGGAGAAGGGATTATGGCATGGCCATACCCTCTAGAGGGTGATTTCTTGCTTTCTGTCTCTCTGGTGAGTGCAAGAGCCCTATAGCAAAAATCTCTCTCTAAAAAAAAGAAAAAGGTGTCCTATAATTGGTCTCCTTCCTGCAAGAGTTCCAGGGGACAGGGGTGTCCGGATCTAAACTGCCGCAGGTGAGGACAGGAGCAAGTCCAAGGAGACATACTATCAGGTTGGAAAATTCATTAAGTATTTACATGAAAACTTTGGCTCCCCACTGCTCGGTGTGGTCACACAGCTTGGGGAGCACAGGAAGGAGGCTGGAGAGCTCCTGAGGGCTGCCGCCGAGGCTTCCCTGCCACAGGTCAGGAGTCCTAGAACTGGGCGTGTTGGGAAGGGGTTGCAAGAAGGTAGGAAGAAAGGAACATGTCAGTGGTGGATGCCACATTGAGATCGTTGGGGTGGGGAGAGAAGGGTTTCTCTCTCTCTTTTTTTTTAAGAGAGATTTTTGCTATAGGGCAAGTGTGCTCACCGGAGAGAAAGTGAGAAATCACCTCCCAGAGGGGATGGCCATATCTCAATCTCTTCTCCATTCTCCTCTTGGGGTTTTGGACACGCATGCACACGTGCCTGATGTGAGTTTTAAGCTGCCAGGTCTGGGGTTCAAACCACAGTTGACTACATGGAGTCCAGCAACGTAACCATTATGCCACTTGCTGGTCCCGAGTTTGCTGAATTCTAGGAGTTTAAGATTTTAGGAAGGGAGTGAAAAGGGGAAACACGTTGTTTCTCCTTGACTAGAAGGACGACCGGGTGTGGTAGGCTGGTTGGTGAGTCATCCTTCTGAGTGCTCCTCTGGAGGAGGATGTGAGATCTAGGTACAGTGAACCTCCGCCCCACTGACTCACTGGCCCCATGCCAGTGTCTGTCACCGGGCAGTGAGTGGGACAAAAGCCTGGAGGAGAACCTGAGGACACGAGGAGCGCCTTCCTCAGCTGAGGCTTGCAGGGCTGGCTGGAAGGTGTGGAGAGGGTGGGATGGACATCGAAGTCCATGGGAGCCTGAAGCTGGCAGGCCTCCTGCTGGAGCTGGGCCTCTATGTGGCTGTAGCGTGCTGCAGAGTGCAAGCTTTGGAGGCCTTCTCCACAGGAGGCAGGGCAGGCCTGGCTGTGAGGTGGCTATGGACGGGTGTCAGGGGAAGGGGACGGGGTCCATGCTACAGCGGCTGGCGTCGTGAGACCTGACGCTTGACACGTACGGAGCCCGTCTCCTGGTCTCCACAGGTCACCACCTGCAGGAACTGGGAATGCGTGAGGGAAGCTGCAGTGTCTCCTAATATTTGGTGGCCAGTCGCCGGCCACCTTCTTTCTCTGTGTCCCCATCCCACACCGCCGCATCTTCCCCTTTGCAGCGGCTGCAGGCTCCCCCATCATGTGGTCACTGACAGTCCTTCTGCTCCTGGGTGAGTCCTCACTGAGGTGACAGCGACAGCAGCAGGACTTGGGCCGTGAAGAACGAGGCAGGGCAGGGTGTGGGGAAGAAGGGGGCGGGTAGTCGATCTTCCAATTCCAGAGGGTCCTGTCTATATTTCTGGAGAAACAAAAAGGGAGTCTTTTTAGAGCTGGGAAAACTAAGGCCAAAGAACAAAAATAAGCTTTGAGACCATCTCCTCTTTCCTACGATCAAGAGTCCCTTTCTTGGGACGAGGTCCTGGCGCAGTGGTAACACAAGTGGCCCTGCCTGGGGAAGGTCCTGGGCCCACATCCTAGGACCTCCCTGCGCATGCTGGTACTCTCTGTGTGCCCGTGATCCAGGCTGGCTGAGGCAGGGGGCGGCGGGAGGGGGTGCCGCAGCGTGAAGACCCTGTCGGAGATGCCTGGCTCTATTTCTGTCTCATGGGAGAAATAAATGAATAAACTTTTCTTTCCTCTCATCACCAACATTCTCCTTTCTTATTCTGCAGTTCCAAGCAGTGGGCAAGCTGGTGAGTTTTATGCACCCCTGCCCCAGTGTTCTACAATTCCCACTCCAGCCCCTCTCCGTGGCCTGCGTCGGTGACCTCCCCACTTCTTAGCTGTGCTGGGAGAGCGTCTCCTCCCACTCCCCCCAAGTCGTTGTGACTCGGTTTGCCTTTCGGGACTTAGAAACAGGTCACTGATGGACTAGCAGCTCACAGCCCAGTGATGCCGGTCCTTCCTCCTGCGGGGTGGGTTAGTACGGGCTGGTCCTGGGAGCTGGGGTTTTCTGAGGTCTCCCAGCTTCAGACCACGCCTCTGCGCTCCTCACCTGGATTCTTTGTCCACACCGCCCCTTCTGCACACCCCAGCCACCCTGGAGAAGCCCACATTGTCTCTACACCCACCTTGGACCACGATCTTCAAGGGGGAGCGGGTGACCTTGCGGTGCGATGGCTACCACCCTCTGCTCCTGGAGCTCCGGCCCATCAGCACTCTCTGGTACCTGGGTCACCTGCTCCTGCCCTCCCACAAGAAGAGCATTGAGGTGCAGACGCCAGGCGTGTATCGGTGCCAGACACGGGGAGCGCCTGTCAGCGACCCCATCCACCTGTCTGTGTCCAACGGTGAGTGGACTGAGTGTGAGGGAGGGGCAGCCTGCATGTCCCCAGTGATACCAGCTCTCCTGTAGAGAGGACCCCTGCAGGGGGCAGGAAAAAAGGCCCTCCTGGGGCCGGTTTGAGTCTCTAAGGTAGGCAGGGCCTGCATGGTGCTGCATGATCCATGCAGTAAGGCTTGCTTGGCCCCAGAGGTCCCTCTGACCCTCATGTCACAGCGTGCGACAAATGACACTTCTGTTTGTTTCCAAGACCAGCTCAGAACGGAGGCTCTGAAGACCTGAGATACGGAATAGAGAACTTAGTGAGGAGGGGAGTCAAGAAATGGCAGAGCAGAACTGAGAATACCTGGACAGAGTCTTCTTTTTTTAAAAAAAATTTTTTTTCTTCTTTTTTTAGAGTTATTTATTTATTTATTTGTTTTGCTATAGGGCTCATGTGTTAGCCGGAGAGACAGAGAGACAGAAAGAGAGAAATCACCCTCCACAGAGGATGGCCAAGACAGAGAGACAGAAAGAGAGAAATCACCCCCCACAGAGGATGGCCAAGACAGAGAGACAGAAAGTGAGAAATCCCCCCCAGGGGGTGGCCACACCACAATCCCTTCTCCATTCTCCTCTCAGGATCTTGGGCATGCACGCACATGCGCCCGGTGTGAGTTTGAAGCTGCTGAGTCTGGCACTCAAACCGCATTCGATTACATGGGAATCCAGTAATGTAACCATTATGCCATTTGTTAGTCCTTTTTAAAAAAATTTTAAGGGGCTACCAGATAGCATAGTGGTTATGTCACTGGACTCCCACATGGCTGACCGCAGTCTGAGTCCCGGACCCAGCAGCTTGAAACTCACACCTGGAGCGTGTGCTTACATGCCCAAGATCTCAGGAGGGAAGGGAGGAGGAGAAGGGACTGCGAATTGTGGATTGTGGTGTGGCCATCCCTCTTGGGAGCTGATCTATCCCTTTCCATCTTGCTGACTCTCTCTCTCTCTCTCTCTCGCCCCCTGACAAGTACATGTGCCAAAGGCAAAACTCTTTCAAATTTTTTCTTTGCACATGCTCTACTATGAATTTTTTAAAAAAAGTTTTAAATTCATGACGGAGTATGTGCGTGCATAAGAAACAGAAATAAAGAGAGAGGGAGAGACGACCACCCCTACAGGGTCTGATGATGCCACAAACCCTGCCTTCGGTCCTGCAGCCTTATGCTCACTTTCAGGCCTGCTGCGTCCAGGCTGACTGAGTTAGAAATCTGAAGCGAGGTCCTTCTGGGGGTCTGGCCTTCCTTGAGCAGTGCATCACTGCTGCCCCAGTGAGCCAGCCCAAAGGACCACTCTCTGTTTCTGTCTCTTTTCGATTGCCAGGGGACGTGTGCACTTGCCAGAGAGAGAGAGAGAGAGCGAAGCCAAGAGAGAGAAGAGAGAGGAAGCACCTCCCAGTGAGGTGTGGTCATGCCAGCCATCCTTTTTGTCACATCTCTCCAACCTGTCGGGTGTGTTTTATCAAAGCCACTGAGGCTGGCGATTTCCGATGCCGGTGGGCCGAGTGGGATCCAGCTGTGGGAGAGGCCTAAGGTTGTCCTGGGGTGCCAGGGAACCTTTCTAGAGGTAATGGTTAAGCCTAGACATGCCTGACTAGTAGGCCTCAAAGTGAACAGGAAGGGGTGGTCTTCCCCGCAGAGGAAACGCCGGCGGGAGACTCCGAGCAGGGCAATTCTTGCAGCTGTGCAGTGTGGCTGGGACTTGTTTTAGGGGTGGAGAAATGGCCTGGAAAGGTCAGCAGGTGGGTGGGAAGGCCCGTCCCATCCTAAGGAGTGTAAATAAATGCGGATGGGCGATTCCTGAGGCTGGAACCAGGTTTCAGGCATCTTTGCCTCCTTGGCATCTTATGAAAGCCTGACCTTCCTCCTCCTCCCATTCACCTCCTAAGGCGTCCTGCACAAGGACACTTCAGGCTGCCATCACTGGGAACGCTATGGAAGGGAGGAGGGGTTGAGGGGAAAGGAGAGCAGCCCTGCGGGAAAGCCAGGAGGCTGAGAGTGGGAGACGTCCAGGGTTAACATCCGGTTAAGTCAATCGTGTCTGTGGTGTCTGTCTAGACTGGCTGATCCTGCAAGTGCCCTACGCCCCGGTGTTCGAGGGTGAGCCGCTGACTCTGCGCTGCCGCGGCTGGTACGACAAGGTGGTCTACAAGCTTCACTACTACCACGACGGCCAGGCCGTGCGCTACTTCCACTCCAGCGCCAACTACACGGTGCTGCAGGCGCGCGCCAGCGACAGCGGGCGCTATCAGTGCTCGGGCACCATGCGCATCCCGGTGGAGAGCGCGCCCATGTTCTCCGCCAAGGTGGCCGTGACCGTGCAAGGTGGGGGAGACCTGGGGCTACGGAGGTTTTGCAAACGAGCCGGGCAGGGAAAGGAGGGGCGGAGGTTCGAACAACTGCCAGTTGGCGGACTTGTCTGCTAGACCGCGAACGCTCCAAGGTGAAGGAGCGCGTCATCTGCAGACTGCTTGGAGGCAGGAGTCCCCTCTGCCCCACCTTACCCAGACGCACACTCCAGCTTCATCCGGCTGGGACCCCATATAGGGGGCCCTCTGGCCCCAACCCCAGCCAGAAGGGCTGCAGCCGCAATACTGGCGCTGCGGGGCAGAAAGGAGCGACCTGCTTCTGAGCATCCCGCGAGGCAGGCGCAGCGTCGCGCCTTCAAAGCTGAGAACCTGGTCCGGGTGTCAGCCGGGATGTGACATGACGCATCTGGTCTGGTCCTCCTCTCTTTCGAACTTTCCCGGTCCACCTGCCCATTTCAGGAGCCTGCCCGCCCTCGTTCTCCCTCCACGTGTGCACGCAGCCTCCTCCCACCCTCCCCTGGTTTACCAGGTCCTCGAGGAACCTCCGCAGGAAACGGGAAGGAGAGAGGGGTCGCAGGGCCCTAGACAAGCCTGTCCTGCTTCCTTCCCCGCCCCGCCCTGCTCCCTCCCTTCTAGCCCACCCCATCCTTGCGCCGACCGCATGCGCGCGTCCTCAGCCCCCGGCCTCCCTCTCCGCAGAGCTGTTCCAGACCCCGGTGCTGAGAGTGCAGCGCGGGGAGGAGGCCCGCGGCGTGGCCCGCGGCGGCGTG